GATGCCCCAGGGGGAATGACCCCTGTGCAGGCCCCCGACACACCTGTGACATCATCCATGCATTTACTTGCTTAAGCTCCTCTTGGTGGTTGGCTTTGTAAACTGAGGATGCAACAGTGGACAGAAACCTCCACTCTCTAGGAGTCTGCATCTAACACAGGAGACGGTGAAGGGCGAAAAACTAAACGTATGTCAGAAGGCCAGGCAGCAATAAGTTCTAGGAAGAAAATAACCTCAGGGCACAGGGCAGGGGACTCTATGACAAAGCAAGGGAACAGGCAATGACACACCTGGGAGATGAGCCTGCTCAGGAGAGGGACAGCGAATGCAAGGGCCAACCATGCATGGCAAGTTCAAAGGACCTGGGAGGCCACTGTGGCTGGACCAGGATGCAGGCCAGACCCTGCTGGCTGGCTCAAGGACTTGGGTTTTACTTTGAATGACTGAGTGCCACTGAGCAGGGCAGGACACACTCTCACATTCTGGGCTGCATGTGGGGAATGGACCATGGGGGCTCAGACTCAGAGATTAAGCTGCCTCAGCCATCCCAGCCAGCTCAAAGCGCCTTGCTCTTTGCTCAAACACATCCCTCCTGTAAATACCAGAACGACAGAAATGGGGACAAGAGGACCCACTCCTACCCACTGTCACCAGCTCAGCAATAGCTCTAGAAAATCCTGCCTACCTTCCTATGTCAGCCACTAGAGACAGCCCCTGGCTATGCTTTGAATTGGCCCATATGTGTCTTATCCATTCAGCTAACATTTTCAGGAGGGCCTGCTCTCTGCCAGGCCTCATGCTGGACATGGGGACATGGCAAAGAGCAAGACAAGGTCACTGCTTTCAAGCTGCTCACATCTCTCAGGGGGCCACCCATGTTGACAGATGGCTCCAGCACAGCAGCACCCTTGCTGGGATAAGGGTGAGCATAGGGGCAGTTCACCTACCCCAGGGGCTCAGGGAGGCTGCCCACACTGGGGCACCCCAACTCCCTGTGACCCTAGAAACACAAGCTCATACCATGCCCAAGCTACCACGATACCCCATGCCCCACACACAGTACAGGTGGGGAAACTGAGACCCCAGATGGACAGTTAGTGGCCAAATTTCTGCCCACTCAAAGTCAGGTCCTGGTAAGTAATAGGAAGCTCCAATTCCATCCTACTCCTCCCTGCTTCCCTGGTGCTCAGTAATTCATAAGAGGGCCTGAGGGCCATCCCTCCTCATCTGGCCTGAGACCCTGCTGCACAGGGTCATGTAGAAGCAGCCTCTTTCTACCTGCATCTGACACCTCAGGGTCTCGTGGATGGAACACAGATGGCTCCCCTTCTTTCCAGGGCCCCTTCTGGAAGTCTCAGGAACCCATTCTGGATGGGTAACCCCAGCCTGAGCCATAATAGTACCCCCCCAATGACAGAAATGAGTATAGGCGGTTGTTATTATTCTTGTTTTAATTATCACATACTCTTTGAGCGTAAGACTCTCTCATTTCAATGACTCCACTTTGCAGATGAGGAAACTGTATCAGAAGGGCTAACTCGGAGCCACAGTCTCCCAGGGTTTAAGTGGTGGAGCTGAGATTCAAACCACCTCAGACTCCAGAGTTTACACATTCAAGCTTCCAAACACCAGCCCCTTTGCTAGCACAGCCAGCCCCTGAACTGGTGTGACTCAGCTGTCCTGGGTACTGTCAGCCCTTAGGGGCTGGCCTACTGCAAAAAGGGGTATTTTTAATCACTTGTATCGCAAGCAGAGAAATCCGTTTTTGAATGTAATCAGGCAGGAATATCCAAACATAAAGCCTATAAAAGCAGAGTTGCCCCCTACATGCTTGGGGTCCCAAGCACTCCCTGCACATGGGCTCAGTAGCCCAGGCTCTCCCCTTCTGAGAGCAGCCCCATGGCCAAACAGCCCTGTTTTTTGCTAGGAGGAGCTGACACCTCCCCTCCCCTCACATCCCAGAGCTAGAGACTCTTCTCCCAGGCTCTGCAGGGTGCTCAGTGACAGAGCTCCCACTGGAACCTAAGTATCTTGCCTCTGAGTCCAGTGCTGTCCAGGGCCAAAAGCAAGAGGGAAGCTGGTATAACCCCAGATGTGCAGGATGACCAACCCCCTTCACCCCTACCTGCCAGGTATCCTACTCTGTAAGCCTGTGGTCCTCAGACCATCTGTTCCCTCCCTCCAGAGCCCAGGCTGAGGCTAAGAAAGCCTTCATTCCTGGAGCAGCCCGCCCGCCAGTCCCCCAAAGCCTTTCAGTGCTGGAAAAGCTTCAGGGGGCCACAGGGAGACCCTCATGCAGGTGCAGAATGGCAGGGTGCCGAAGGCGCACTGACAGCTATGCAGATTTCACCAAAGGATTACCCAGGGTTGTGGAGCAAACCAAGAGCTCCTGGGCAGCGCACCCAGACAAAGGGGGGCCTGCACCTTGACCCTGCCACAGAGCCTAGCACCTTGGCATGCCGGGCCTTTTACAAATGTGAATCTGAGATTCCATGTGTTTGTGGGTATTCCAGATTCTAGGTGTTTATGGAGATTCTGTTTATACTTGGTGCTTGCTAAAATTCGGAGACTACAAATTAATAAAATTATGTGATTCTAACTGTGTATTACAAGTCCCAGGCTACATCATCCTTCCAGCTGGACTGAGCCCTCTGAAGAAGGAGCAGGTCCTTGGGCCACCCTGGGCCCCAGCCGCCCCTCCCCCTCAGGCAGGGCAGGCTGCTAAAGCAGATCCACAGAGCGGCCCCACCCTCCTGCCTGGCCTGACCACATAAATCACCCTCCCAATAATATTTGTATTGATTATCTAGATTGGAAGCCTCAATTGGCTCCATTGTCTCACTTCCTCTCCCAAGGTTCACAGATGGGGTCCTTTGGCCTCATCTGCGTTTCTAATGCGACATTTAAATGGAGCAGCAGCAGCCAGCAAGGCCCTTCTGCCCTGGGTGTTGTGGGGTTGGAGGAGCACATAAGCATATTCCTTAAGAGGGGGTGATTAATTCCTAGAGTCCACAGAGCTGGCAGAGAAGCCAAGATGGGCTAGTCCCTAGATACCCCAAATGTGGTCCTGCAGCACCACCTGGGCACTTGTTAGAAATGCAGATGCTCAGGCCGCACCTCGGACCCCTCAGTCAACATCAGCATTTTGACAAGATGCCTCAGTGATTCACATGGCCACTAATGTCTAAGAAGCACAGCTCTTGGACATTAGTCCGACGCTTGTATTATATACAGAAAAGACACTAAGGCTCAGAGAAGGCAAAGGGCTTGCCTGAGGTCACACAGCAAATGAGACCCTCTGAGTTCCAGTTCAGGCAGAGGGAATGAGAGAAAAAGTGGCTTCTGGGGTGAGGGGCCGGCCATTTCTGGGCTCCCCTCCCTCCTGTGCTCTTGCCTCCTGTCTCAGGGTGTGGACAGATGGTTCAGACCAGTCTGACCCCCCTGTACCCTCCTAGCCTGGAGGGGCCAGCAAGAGCTCCGGGGACTCCTCAGGAGGGCACCTCCTCCCGTCCCGGCCAGCCAGCTGCCCCTTCCCTGGCAGCAACTGGACAGCAGATCCCAGGGAAAACCACCACCTGGGACTGCCCAGCACAGCCAGGCGTCTGCAAAGGGGGGCAGGGAGAGCTAAGAGGCCCCACAGAGGCGGCCAGCAGAGGGCCTGGGAGAAGGAGGAGGAAGAGGCAGCCAGAGGGAGGAAGGCAGGGAGGACAGTGGTGGTGTGGAAGGGGAGACAGAAGGATGGACGGAGTGGGGGAATGGAGACGGTAAGTAACAAACTATGCACAGGGAAGAGGGGGAGGCAGCTGGCCAGGAGGGGCACAAGCCCAGCGTGGCCCGGCCCTGCCCAGGCCGGTCCTGCCCAGCCCCCAGTGATAGCGCAGCTGCCACATTTGGGCCCTACCATGAGGTCAGTCCTGCCCCGGGGCTGAGGGAAAATAAATGGTGTGCAAGATAAAAGGTCCAAGAAATTATTTGTCTTGTTGTCACGTCTTGACTGCAATGGGCAGGGGCCAGCAGGCAGAAAGGCGGGGCACCACCCCAGAAACGCATAGACTGGCAGGCTTAGCTCACCTAGGGGACCCCAGCTCCCCACTGGTGTCTTGGCCACCCATGGCTCCAGATCCCTAGGCCCCAGGCTGGGACACTTCCCACAACCTGGACCTGGGACAGCAGCAATGGGTGGGGCAGGTGTTTTCCTAGGGAGGGGTGAGGATCAGGAGGCCTCCCAGCACCCTCGGCTCTTCCTGTCCAGCAATTTTATAAATAAACTGCCAGGTAAGTATTTGTTAAGTCTATCTTGGTCAGATCCCCCTAAGCTCTGAGATGGTAGAGTTTAGTCTTTACTTACTACTGAGCACCTCTGTAGGCCAGGGGCTTGGGGAAGGAGGGAGTCAGGGTGTCTCCTCTGTCTAACCTTTGCAGAAGCATCATGAATGTGTGTATATGGCAGGGGCGAAGGGAGGTTTGAGGATTCCAAACAATCCAGAGGAGGGCTAGTCAGTTGCAGGGTCAAGGAAGGCCAGGGGGACCATGGCCCAGGGTGCTGCATGCTTATGCAACACAGGTGTTCAAGCTCAAATCACATGAGCATGTGTGCACACACACACACACATGTGCACACCCACATGCATCCATGCACCAAACTGATTTCCACCATTACCAGCGTCCAAAAAGTACCACCCTGGGGTGGTGAGGCAATGGTTCAGAAGTAGCCACCTGCTTTAGGCCGTCCCCAGTTAGGCCACTGATGCCACACAACTGCCATTTATGGGGCCATTTACCAGCAAAGCACTTTTTATTCATGTCTTCAGTTAGTGCTCCTGACAAGCCTCTCAAGGAATCACTATTACATCCCCATTTTACAGATCAAGAAACCAAGGTCCCAATAGAATTAGTGGTAGGCCCAAGATTACACAGCTGGGACATAGCAGAGCTGAAATTTGAACTTGAGGTCTCTGAAGAGTGTGTGTATGGGGCAAGAGGAGGGGTTTGGCACATACCATACTTATCCCCGTCCTCGCCGCGGGCACTGATCCTGCGGCCCAGGACCTGGATGTGTTTCCCACTGGTCCGGCTGTAGAGCTGGTACAGCCGTAGCTGCTTACGGCTCACATCGTCCCGAGCCCGCGTCTGGTTCTCCACGTGGATGCGGAAGTCCACGTTCTCCTCGGCGACCAGCACCTGGGCAGGGTAAGGGGAAACAGTGAAACCATACCAGAAGAACTAGGTCCCTTGCAGGCAAGAACCAGCCTCATCCACAACAAAGAGCAAAGCCCTCTTCTCTGCCAGCTGTGAGCCAGGACTCAGGATGTACTCATAACTACCCATGATACCCCCATTTCATAGATGAGGCAACTGAGGCTCAGAGAGGGAAGGCAAGTTTCCCAAGGTGACCCAGCCAGGAAGTGGCAAAGCTAAGAATCAGACCTAGGTCTGTCTGACAACGAAGCTTATTATCTTTTCCCTGCAGCCCCAAATTAAAGCACCAGCTATGGAGTAGAGGTATCTTTTTGTTTGTTTGTTTGTTTTTGAGACGGAGCCTCAAGCTATCCCCCTGGGCAGAGTGCCATGGCATCACACTCACAGCAACCTCCAACTCCTAGGCTCAAGCGAGTCTCCTGCCTCCGCCTCCCAAGTAGCTGGGACCACAGGCGCCCACCACAACACCTGGCCATTTTTTGGTTGCAGCCATCATTGTTGTTTGGCGGGCCGGGCTGGGGATTCGAACCTGCCACCTTAGGTGTATGTGGCTGGCGCCTTAGCCACTTGAGCCACAGGCACCGAGCCGGAGTAGAGGTATCTTGTGTAACCCGCAGGTGCATGGTTTGTTCCACTCATATTCCTTCTTGGTAAAATGGTAAAGTCCCCATGGATTCCATCCCAGGGTGTCTGTGAGGACAAAGTGACCAATGGGAAGATGAGTACTAAATTCCATATGGATATGGGTGAGGAACAGAGGGGGCAGAGCTTGATCTGGGTCCACAGCAGGGAAGGAGGAAGCCCTGGTGAGTTCCATCCAGGAAACCAGCAGCCAGATTCTGCTGTAACCTCAGCTGGGTGTATCCTCCCCACCCCTCAAGGGTCCCCATGCTCACATCCACACCGAGCATTTGCCCACATCTAGGGCCCCTCTTGGGGCCTTTGCTTTGCATCTGTGACAGAAATTCCCTGTATCCCTCAAAGTTTAGCTGTGCCCATCCATATCCTCCAAGAAGCCTTCTCTGCTTCCGCCAACACATATCTTCCATCTCCTTCCCCAAGCTCAGCTTCTCATCTGAACAATTTGTACACACCTCCTCTCCTCACTGGCCTCCTGCTTCCACTCTCGCCCTCTGGTAGTCTGTCCTCCACCAAACCCAATCCCCAAACTCCTCACTCTCCAGGGCTTTCCTTCATCTTAGATTAAGTTCCTCTCCACAGCCTCAAGGCCCTACAAGATGAGCCCAACCATTTCTCTATGCTCCCACTGGCTGCACTGGCCTCCTCAACCATTTCTCTATGCTCCCACTGGCTGCACTGGCCTCCTTGCCTCACCTCTAAGCATTCCAAACTCAAATGCACTCCTGCCTCAGGGCCTTTGTACTTGCTCTTCCCAATGCTTCTATGCTCTTTCCCAGATCCTCACCTTCTGGCCCCTCTAGTTCACTCCGGTCTCTATCAAATGCCACCTCCTCACACAAGCCTTCCTGGGCCCCTTTCTGAAGCCAGCCCACCCTCCTTCCATCCTCCATGCTTTGTGTTTCCTTCTAGCACTTACCAACCTGACAAACCACCTACCTATATGGGATTCATCTGTCTGCCCCCAATAGACTGGCAGTACCATGGAAGCTGAAGCTGTCTCTTTCTTGTTTGTCCCTATATCCCCTCAGAACCTTTTTTAATTTTTTTTTTAATTTTTATTTTTTTTTGCAGTTTTTGGCCAGGGCTGGGTTTGAACCTACCACCTCCAACATATGGAGCCGGTGCCCTACTCCTTTGAGCCACAGGCGTCGTCCCTTATTTTTTATTTTTTAGAGTCTCACACTGTTACCCAGGCTGGAGTACAGTGGCACGGTCATAGCTCACTACATTCTGACCTGGGCTCAGGCAATCCTCCCATAGTGTTATGAACACTATGCCCAGCAAAATTTTCTTTTTTTTTTTAATTTGAGACAGAGACTCACTTTGTCACCCTTGGTAGAACGCCATGGTGATAGCTCACAGCAACCTCAAACTCTTAGACTCAAGCGATTCTCTTGCCTCAACCTCCCAAATAGCTAAGACTATAGGAGGCCGCCACAACGCCTGGCTATTTTTAGAGATGAAGTCTTGCTCTTGCTCAGGCTGGTCTCAAGCCTGTGAGCTCAGCAACCCACCCGCCTCGGCCTCCTAGAGTGCTAGGATAACAGGCATAAGCCAACATGCCCAGCCCTGCCCAGCCCAGCAAAATTTTTTTAAAAATTTGGAGACATGGGATCTTACTGCATTGCCCAGGCTGGTTGCAAACTCCTGGGCTCCAGTGATCCTTTTGCCTCGACCTCCCAAAGTGCTGGGATTACATGAATGCTGAAAAGACCTGATGTCCTATCATGCCATTTAGCATTAAGTTTTCCTATACCCTGCTAATTGTATGCACATCCCATTCCATCTTAACCATAAAGCTGAAGAGTTCCTGAAAACCAGGTGGCATTGTGGGCTTTTTCTGTGTGCCAAAGTCTGGCACAATGCTAGGCATGAGGGACCCCATTCCCACACTAGCACATCCGCACCCAGCCTATGCCAGAGCTCTTCAGATCCTGGCTGCCTTCAGGGTGAACTCTCAAGGGCAGGAACTATGTTTCTCATTTGCTGTAGCTCACACCTAGCCCAGGATCTCTGTCTCCAAGCTGACCTGCATGTGCCCTACCCCGAGCCTAGGCCTGGGCCCCACAGGTGCTTTAGTGGGACCACATTATTGAACCTTCACAATCATCTTTAAGTTGGAAGCCATCATCCTACATTAAAGGTGAGGACACTGAGCTTAACTGACAAAGTCACGGAACAGACAATGCAGAGTTAAGCACATCCTGCAAGGCCTGTCTGACCCCTACCCCACTATGCCATTAGGAGTTGGCCCCAGGTTCAAAACCCAGGGCATCCTACGGGACCTTAGCAAATTACTAAACTCTTTATGCCTCAGTTTCCTCACCTATACAATGAGGGTGACAATAATGGTGCCCTCCTCATGAGTGGCTATAAAGATCAAACATACAGAGTAACACATGGAGTGCTCAGGGCAAGGCCTGGCATCAAGTAAGCACTCAGGAGAGATGGCTACTGAAGGAACCTATGGGAACACTTTACGGGCTCTAAGAGAAGCTCTGCAAACCAGATTCCCATGTGGGAAGATGCTGTTTCTTTTGATAGTCCTAACTACCCTATCACCTATCAGAACCCCCTATCAGAACACCTATCACCCCTGTTTAACAGACGTGGAAACTAAGGCCCCGAAGAGTTAAGCCCATTGCTGCAAGCTGCAAAGCCTACTGGGGCAGGACCTGGCCTGTAGGCCCAAGTGCACATCCTCTTGTGCCCTACTGCTCTGCTGACCAGCCCATAGCATGCATAACCTGGACTTGATGCCAGGCCACCTCGTCTCACATCCCACTGCCCAGTGCCTCTGAGCCCCACACCTGGCAGACATTTGTCCCAAAGACCTCCCATCCATGGCCTCTGACCTTCCTGGAATGACTTCCGGAGGTGGCTGGCCCTGTCCCCTCCCCCAAGGTAGGCCTCCGGTCTCCCTCCCTGTCCTCCAACTCTCCTCCTGCTCACAGGAGACCTTATCGACCAAAGGTCAAACCAATCTCCTTACTCTAGGTCCCCAAGGGGAGCTGTCCTGCTCCAGAAGCCAGCCTCCCATTAATGATTTTCTCCCTGGCCCACTGGAGAGAGGCAGTGTGGGTGACCCAGGGTCAGTAAGGGCTATCGGGTGGCCCTTCCCCAGGATGTTTGGTGGTGGGAAAACAATCCATCTTGCCCAGTTTCCACCATTTAAGCCACACTCTGTGGCCAGATCAATCCCAAGAGAGGTAGTAGGGGCAGCCTCTGACACGGAAATAGGATCTGTCTTCCTAATAAGGCAGGAAGTACCCCTGGGCTTCCTCAAGACCTCTAGCAGGTTCCGAGCCTTTGCAGAGACTGGATCTTCCACCCAGAGCACACCACCTGCCCCCTGTGCCTGGCTGTCACCCCCTTCAAGAGCCACCTTGGAAGCCATTCCTGGCTCCCACATCCCAGGCTAGGTGCAGGCTTTGGGACAGTCTATTGCAATGGCTTATTGTCCCAAGTCCAATATGTGAGTTCACCCCGGAACTCAGCTCTCCCTGCAGGAGGCAAGTAGCAAACACTTGCCAAAAGGCTGTGGCTAAAAGTGAGGGAATATGAGGCCTATATCAGCCCCACCACTTACCACCCAAACAAGGGGAGTGCCCAAAGAGGGTGGCACTCTGTTTCTAAGGCTACTGCTCACTAAGCTTCCCTCTGTTCCAGGCACTTTGCTAAGAAGCCCTGTAGATATGGAAGTGCTTCTGATTCACTCAACCAACTGTGGAGGTGAGTACCCATTTCACAAACTGGCCCTGGAGCCCATCTCTCCAGGCTCCTGGAAAGCAGAGCCTTGGAGACATCCACTTCTTTCCTGTTAGCTAGCTGCCCCAATGAGGGGCCTATCTTTAAGGCCTTCCCAGTATAGTCAGAGCTACTGTCTGCCCAACTGACAGCCCCCCAGGTGTACAATTGTCAGGGGTACTGAAAAGTTGCAGTGCAAACAAAACCAAATTGCTGCAACTCTCTCAAGGCAAGAAAGGTTGGCACACAAAGCATGTCTCCTTCTGAAGGGGAAGGAGTCCCTATTGCTCCACCATCCTCTTGGCTCAGACACATGGATTATCTCTTGGGTCACAGAGGCTTTTCCCACAGTGGGGTGGCTACTGTCCCCCTGCAGCCTGGGACCTCAGTAACCAAACCCTACCTGCCTCTTCTCTTGCCTGAGGGCTTTGACTCTGGTAGAAATATTCATTCCCGCTGCACAGAAGCGACGAAGAGGGCCCCACAGGCTCAAACCTCTCCTGGGTGTGCCAAGATCCCCAGGACCCTGGGATGAACATAGCACTCAGTGCAACAGATCTGGCCCACACTCTGCCTGCAGCCCACCCTCGTCC